ACCAGTGACTTTAATCACAACAAATTTTTAAATGACTGAACCACAAATTAAATTCAATGATCAGCCATCACTCAGACCCTTTATAGGGGCTTAGCAGATCACTTTTTTGTGTCCCCTTCAGAAGGAATGAACATGGTTTAAAAGCGCCAACTCTGGTGTCAGGTTTCTAGGGTTAGGATCTTGGCTCAGCTGTGAGGCATTGACATTATCGACTTCATGGGGCTGGTGTACAAAATGAGCTAACACATGAAGAGTGCTTATGTGTCTGACATATGACAAACTGCTTTGTAAATGTGATTTGTTTATGTGACATGTTAGCACTGTGGTGTGGTCACAGTATAAACCTGTTTTGCTGCTCTCAAAGAACTTTAACAACACAGAGGAGGAGACAACACCAACATGAATGAAATAATTATGGGCTGAACTGAGCGGTTATAGAATTAAGCCTTGGACTGACCTGCTGGCAAAGTCGCAAATAAGTCCCAGCTTGGAGGGCACAGTCCTCTAAGCATAATTAAGCTTGATTTTGTGACTGTTCCCTAGATCTTTCCTAGGTAGCTAATGGGCTGTGGGAGGTGCAGCAAGTGCTGCCAAAATAAGTGAAATTTACAAGAACATTGTAAATTACCTTGTTGACCTCTGACTATAAAATAAGCCATCATTTTGCAGTCTGGATCTGTTCTGTAGCCTCAGCTAGGCACAGAAGATCCACCTAGACCCAGCTTATTCTTTTCGTCTGTCTTTTCTTCATCCTTCACAAGCCCTCCCTCAGGCTCACTGAACCTTTGGCTGTGCTGGCACGGCACAATAGTTCTGCAAGAGATTTTATAGGTCTCCCAGTGGAAGTTACCATGAAAGTTATCTAGAGCATCCTCAATAGATGACCTTCCATAACACAGCATATCAGAAAGGCTAACATGGATGCTATTGCTGGAGCATACCAGCCCATGGTGTGTGTGTTATTCATGTGCCAGGATTTGGTCCTTCTTCCCAAAGGGTCAATCTCCTGTCTTTATCCCAAAGTGTGTACACATTTGAGTTCAACTATGAGATCACATACCATATTTTTCGGACCATAAGACGCACTTTTTTTCCCCCAGAAGTGGGGGGGGGAAAGTCCCTGCGTCTTATGGTCCAAATATAGCCTACACATATACTTTAAAAAAAAGTTTTTTTACTTGCCCGGCTCTGTGTGGTCTCTGTGTGCTTGCCCGGCTCTAAAATGGTTCTAAATGCTGCTGTTTACTTTACAGGGTTGATTACATGTGTTTATGACTGTGATGTTGGGTTTTAATGCACATAAAATATTTTAGGACACTATTTGTTTCAGAATCTTTTTTTCTTCATTTCCCTTCTCTAAAAACTGGTGCGTCTTATGGTCCGGAGCGGCTTATGGTCCGAAAAATACGGTAATTTAGTAATTCCTTCCTTCCTACTACTGTGTAGTTTTCTAGTGTATGTCTAGACTACAATTTTCTCATCCATTTTTCACCTGCTTACATATATTTGGGTTATTTGCATGTTGTCACTCATAGGAATGAAATCTGCTGTGAGCATTCTTGTGCAACTTTTTGTGGACATATCATCTTTATTTCTCTTGGGAAAATACCTAAGAATGGAATTGCTACATCATCGGGTATTTAACTATATAAGAAACTGTGAAGGTCTTTTCCAAAGTGGTCATACCACTTCAAAACAGTGAATTAGGAGTTCCAAAACACATATTATCATCAGTATTTTAAATTTTAGCTATTCTAGTGGATGTGAAGTGATACTTCACAATAGTTTTTATTTTGCATTTCCCTACTAACTAATTAGGTTGAGCATTTTTTATGTACTTCACGGGCCATTTGTATATCTTCTTTTTGAAATATCTGCCAGATCATTATAGATGTAATCTCAGGTCGATGTTATAGATAAATTGATTTAAAATGTTATGGAAGAAGCTATAAGACAGCAATGAGTGGTGAGAGGAAATCTACTGGACTTCCGTTCTCAACTGATGTAGCATCTACTACCGTAGAGGGTAACGTCGTGTGGACCAGAAACCACAGCTTAGGTGGTTTAGTTCAACCTTTGCACCCAGCATCTGACACAGTACTTTGCACAGTCATCGTCCCAATAACTGCTGCAGAATAAGTGACTTTTATCTATAGGAATACCCCAAAATACTTTTTTTTGTGAGTGACGAGGTAGAAAGAATTAAATACCTCAGTTAACATAAAACACTTCAGCACAAAGTACAAAGGGTTGGAAAGATGTATGTATTGCCGTGGCTGGTAGCTCAGTTTGTTAGAGTGTTGTCTTGATATACCGACCGAGGTTGCGGGTTCGATCCCCGGTCAGGACACACACAAGAATCAACCAATGAATGCATACTAGTAAATAACTGGAGCAGCAAATCAATGTTTCTCTCTTTCCTTCTCCTCCTCCTCCTCTCTCTAAAAATCAATAAAATTTTATTAAAATTTAATTTAAAAAGAAAAGAAAGAATGCATGTGTTGGACCTGGTCATGCCTCTGAAGAATTAAATGTTAATTAATCATGGTCCATGTGCTAAATAAAATAAAAGAGCTGGGACCTTGGGCTGGTTGCGGGGAGGCCAGAATGCCTCCGTGAATGAATCCACAGCTAGGCCACACTATGAAACAAATAGCTTTGCTTCCTTGGACTTTCCTGAATTTTGCTTAATAGCAAGGTATGAGTATAGCTTCGAGGAAAAATCGGGGCCTCTGCACCCAATGAATACTTTTAAACTCCAAGCCAGTAACTGGAACACTATTTAGCAGCCTAGCAAACATGCCCAGGGTCACTCGTCAACTCAGATGTCTGGGTGGCCTTTCTTGGAGCAGTCAGCGGTCAGTCTGATTGCATCCGTGAGCTTCACACTCTATGGCTTGTGGTTAATGTAGGCAGGTATTTCGAGGCTCGGCTGTGGAAGATGGCTGCTTTTAAACATTCTAGGCCAAAGCTCAGTCTGAGAAAGGAGACCAGACTCTCAGTCTTGTTGGTATTTTGGGAAGTATGCCATCATAATGATATTTCCAGGCTGTGCTGAATATGGCCAAAGGGAGAGACCGTCAAGACAGCCTGCCTTAAAACAACTGTGGGACGCTATTTTCTACTTGTAAAGTAGGGAAAGAGCTTTTTAAGCAACACCCAGTTTCCTGGGAATATATTCCTACACAGCTGATCGGAGGGCCATTTGGCCAAAAAAAACCACACACAGAAAAAGCAAAACATTAAAACTATACATATTACTTGTCTCCACAATTTCACCTCTAAAAATGTACCCCACAAAAATAATTTTATCTCTGTAATGATTTATCTGTTAATTTGTATTAAACACAGTGTTGTTTGTAAGAGTTAAAAAATTAGAAACCGATGAACTGTCTAACAGTAGGGAATCGCCCAAAGGAATTTCACTCTATCCATAGGAAGGAATAGTATACAACTGTTAAAAATAAGGTGGTAGGAGAATATATAGATGTGGACATTTGTTCATGACCTATTGTTAAATTAAAAAGCAGTTTGCAGAGCACCATGTACAAAGCATATTTTTGTTGAAAAATCACACAATAAAATAATCTGTACATGTGTATAGAAGAAAAGTTAGAAGACTATACATTCAAAGGTTACTAGCAACCACCTTTGGGTGGTAATTTTTACAGATGATTCTTACCTTCTCCTTTATGCTCCCCCCAGCAAATCTTATATAACAAATATTACATCAGCAGTTGGGGGGGGGGGTAGCTTTAAATATTTCAAGCAAAATGAGCAGCACACAAAAAACCCTATGCTGAGTTAGGATTGTCTACTGATAGGGCAGCAAAAAGGTTTTAGTTCTGTGCTTAAACCCGGACACATGCCAGGACTTCATGTTCTAAAGCAGTTAGTTCAGAATAATTCACACGAGCCCTGATGGCACAGAACAGTCTTAAGAGTTTTCTCTGTTTTCATTTAACGGGAAGTATTTCCTATCCCCGCTGTGCTGAGCCTTGTGCAGCATGCAGTCCACGTTCAGGGAGGCGGATGACATGGTCACACAGATGCCAGCACACAGGTGCCGCCTGGGGAAGGGGGCTCAGTCCTTCAGCCAGCACTCCCCCTGTCACTGAAATCCCCAGCTGTGTCTTTGGGAAAATAGAGAGCTTGTAGCCTAGACTGACCCACAGCCAGACCCAGCACAGGTTACTGAGGACAAGTTATACACGTCAGGGAAATCCTTCATCTGGGGGAAGAGGGGGGTGGTTCTGTCATCTGTGGCAGCACCTGGGCTTTTCCACAGAGTCCTTCGCTGTCCCGGACAGAATGGATTGGCGGGATCACCAATCGCCAGCCATGGACTGGCCCAGCTGTCCGGACAGTGGACTTGAAGCTTTAAAAAGCCGGAGGGCGAGGACGGCTGTGAGGCGGTGGCTTAGTCTGACCCAGTGCCCCCGGGGGGAAACATGACCCTCTGCCCTGTCCACCTCCGGCTGTTCCTGGACTATGAAAGGGAACGAGCCAAGGATATACTGCTTTGCCCACAAAGGAATCTGGCAGAGAGCCAGAGAAAATTAAGCTTAAACTCGAAGTCAGAAGTGCACAACCAGCAGTGGAGGGGGGAGGGGCCAGGCTAACTCACAGCCACTCAGCACCCCCTCTGCCCCCCATCAGTCGGTCCAGTCTTCCCCATGGGTGTTTTCAACTACACAACGTCAGGCGAACTCCAGAGAAATGCCAGCGGCCGGACGCCTAGAGCTGCAGGATGACAACTCAAGAAAAGGCGTGTCTTTAGTCTCCCCGAGTCCTTTCAAAACCAGCGGTCAATCCGTTAGCCCACCCTATGCATCACCAGCAGGACTGTTCTCAGAGTTTAAACACGGAAGATGGCCAAGCATGTACAACCAGAGGTCTCCCAGGCACCCCCCCCCCCCCCGACACACACACACACACACTCGTTCAGGATCAAATGGCCAGGCGCTCACAGAACACACCCCGTTAACTGCCGGACTCACCTGGTCTCAGGCTGCAGGTGTGCGCCCCGCGAGGCAGGTGGCCGCCGCCGCCTCTGTGCACGGCAGACATGGTCCTGGCGGGATCCCCACGGCTCCGGTGTCCCTGGGGCACCTCCTTCCCCGCCAGTCCCCTGCTGGTCTCCACGGGACACCCGGAGCCTCAGAGGTGCGTGTGGATCCTGTCCTCGGTGTAAAGCATGTACTTCTCTAACGCATTTCCGAGTGTTTCCTGGTGGTGATTCTGAAAATAAACATTCCCCGCTGTGACTGCCCCCACAGAAAAAGATGCCGATGCACTTGGATAAAAATACAAAACTCTTGTTTCAGTTCAAAGCATGTTGAAGAATTTCCCCCTTAAAGTGTAAAATCCTACACAGTAACTGTTTGCCACAGACTACAGCCTGGGCCTTTTTGATTCCTTCTGCTGACATGAAATCTAACGCCCCGAGTACTCAGAGAGGGCTGCTAGTCATCACACACGAGAAGAAAACAGTGCAGCTGAGTTAAGTCAAGTGATTCCTAAGCGTCGGAGCTGCCCTCTGGGACAGCAGACAGCAAAGGCTCTTAAGGGAGGCGGGAGGAGGAGCCTGGCTGGCTGATCAGCATAAAGACAGGCAAGACCTGGCCCCGGAGCCGCTGTAACAGTGACCAAAGCAGGGATTCTAAAGAGATGCCCGGACATTCAGTGCTCGCATCCCTCCTTCTGCCGTTGTGTTTTTAATGAAAACAAAAACATAAGCAGAGGCTCATGGGCCTGGAGATTCACTTGTGCATCGGAGACCTGAGGGTGGAAGGCGAACTAGGAATGAGCTCATGGAAATGTACTGCTGGGGCTCCGTTTCTGTAAACAGCCTCCGTCTTCAGAGATGGGCAGTCGTAGGGAGGCCAGCTGCCAAGGTAACTATTTGGAGTTCTGGGAGAAAAATAAGCACACAAAACATGATCTTTCCAGAAACCTAGCTCTGTTGGCCCTTAGATTCTCTATGGCTACTTCTAAGTCATAAGACAAAGCTGTTTCCAGTGTGTGTGCGCGTGCGCGCTGAAAAAGCATATCTCATTGAAATGCTAAAAGTAGTTCATATTTCGTTGAATAGTGGATTCATTAATGTTTTAAAATAATCCCAAACACCTCTCATTTAACTTGGGAGCTTGCTATGCTGACGTTCTAAGGAATGCCTGTAGACCCTGCCCTTCAGGATTCACGGCTCTTTGTGACTCAGAAAGGAGGTGGTGGGCAAGAATAAAGGAGAAAGGCTGCACCCGTTAGCTTTAATGTCTGGGTCCTGCAGGTTCCTCTGCATGTTTGGAAATGGGTACTGCACCCGACACCCTAACTAGAAATGGACCTTCCAGCCTGATGGGGTGGGCAGCCTCACTTTGCTCTGGGGATTCAAGATTTCCAGGAATCTCTGAGCTAGGAGAACTCTCATGAAATATGTGATTGCTCTTTCACAAAATTTTAATGATTTATTAAACTGCTTTTATTGCTTTAATGGTCTGTCCATAGCAGTTTAAGGCCCCTCGCAGGGTAGCAGGCTGTAGAAGTCTGTGGCTACTTTGGAAGAGATTCCTGTGACTAGAGAACCACGGCTCCTGCTTCCAGTGGCTGGGATTGAGCTCCTGCCTCACAGGGCTCCTGGTGGAAAGCCGAGGCATTTTTCCCCCGAATGGGACACAGCTGTCAATATTCTATTCGATTGTGGGCCTTGCCCATGAGCCCACTGCTATGCCGGTAAAACAACCCACCAGGCTGTAAGCCAGCCCTTGAGAGAAACGGATTAAAGTGTTCTATGAGAATGTTTACATATGTGTGAATTGGTAGAGAGAATACCACAACATGAGCCTCCTACATCCATCACTTGGACTCAATCATCATCAACTCACGGGACAATGTGGTTTCGAATATGCGTTTCATCAGTCACTTTCCCCTCGCTTCACCCTTGGCATTGAAGCATCCCAGACATAATTACATTCTCAATAGGTAATTCTAAAACACAAGGATTTTGAAGCACAAGTCCATGCTAACATTGTCATCTTTTAAATCCTTAAACATGATTCCTTAATGCTATTAATTATCCAGCTACTGTTATTTTTCTAATGCCTCATAATTTTTTTTTTAAATTTTTACATTTTGTTCAAATTAGAATCCAAGGGTCTACACATTGTATCTGGTTGATCTCTCTCTTAGTCTTTATCACTCTGTATGTTCCTCTCTGAAAAAAAAAAATGTTGCTTAAGGATTACTATCTATATGTACCCTAACTTTCTGAGGACGCCCTGCTTTTCTTTCTCACCCATGGATGTAAGCCAGGGGGAAAAGGGAGGAAATGGAATGAGGCTACAACAACCAGCTTTCTGGCACTCCTGTCACTGCACTGTGTGACCCTGACCTGGGGACTCAGCATTTCTCGGGGTGTGTCTTCTTTTGTCAAAGAAAACACATATTTGGTAAGTAATGAGAGAAGTTACTCAGCACTCATTCTGTGAATATGAAGACCCAAGAAAGGAAATACTATTCTGCTTTGTCATTGGCTAGAGACTGAGAAGAAAGAAATAGATTTACAACTAAAAATCTAAGTAAGATTTGGGAGTGTACTTGAAAATCTAGGTCCTCAATTCTCAAATCTGGCTGAGTATTGGACTTACCTGGGAACATAGTCAAGATAGTCAAGATAGAGATTCCTGAGAATCTGCACAGCGTGAGGCCTGAACTATATACATTCTCTCTCTTTAAAACTTAACTCTCCCTCCCCTAAGATTTATCAATATATAATTGATGGGCGCAGTGTTGATTTGATACATTTACATTGCAAGATGATCACCACCAGAGCGTTCACTATCCTCCCCGGCCCATCACATGGTTACCATTTCTTTTTTGTGGTGAGAATGTTTAAGATCTACTCTTTTTTTTTTTTTTTTTTTTTAAATAAGTTTTTATTGTTCATATTATTACAAATGTTCCTTTCCCCCCCCCCCGCCCCACCATTGCTCTCCTCCACCAGGTTCACACCCCGCCCTCTGCCCTTTCCCCTCTCCCCATTGTCCTCATCCATAGGTGCACAGTTTATGTTCAGTCTCTTCCCACGCCCCCCTCTCCCCTTTACCCCAAGAATCGTCAGTTCACTCCCCTTCCATACCTCTGATTCTATTATATTCAACAGTTAATATTGTTCATCAGATTTTTTTAATTTCCTTGGTTTTTAGATTCACTTGTTGATAGTTATGTATTTGTTGTTCATAATTTTTATCTTTGTTTACTTTCTCTTCTGAAAGAACCCCCTTCAGCAATTCATATAATTCTGGTTTGGTGGTGATGAACTCCTTTAGCTTTTTTTTATTAGTGAAGCTCTTTATCTGGCCTTCGATTCTGAGTGATAGCTTTGCTGGGTAGATTATTTTTGGCTGTAGGTTCTTGCTATTCATCACCTTGAATATTTCTTGCCATTCCCTTCTGGCCTGCATGGTTTCTGTTGAGAAGTCAGCTGACAATCGTATAGGTGCTCCTTTGTAGGTTACTACCTTCTTCGCTCTTGCTTCTTTTAATATTCTCTCTTTGTCTTTTGCTCTTGGAATTTTAATAATGATGTGTCTCGGTGTGGTCCTCTTTGGATTCCTTTTGTTTGGAGTTCTGTGCACTTCCTGGACTTGTAAGTCTAATTCTTTCACCAGGTAGGGGAAGTTTTCTGTCACTATTTCTTTCAGTATGTTTTTGATATCTTGCTCTCTCTCATCTTCTGGGACCCCCATAATTCTGATGTTGGTTCGCTTGAAGTTGTCCCAGAGGTTTCTTACATTATCTTCAATTTTCTGGGTTCTCTTGCCTTCTAGCTTCTGTGGAGGAGTGTCTTCTGGCTCTTTATGTTCCAAATCTTTGACTTGATTCTTGCGATCTTCCCTTCTGTTTTTAGGACTCAGTAAAATATTTTTTATTTCAGACAATGTATTCTTTATTTCTTGTTGATCCCTTATCATTTCTTGTTGACTCCTTATTAATTCTAGTTGATCTCTTTTCATATCCTCATAGGCCTTATCCATCTTTTCTAGGAAATTCTTGAAAAACCTTATAAGCGTAGATTTGAACTCTATATCCAGACGCTTTTTGTCCTCCATTTCTTTCGTTTGTGATCTATTTTGTTGTCGCATTTCGCAGTTACAGATGGGACGGGGTTTCAGGGTGGAGCCTGCAGCTTTGGCTTCAGTCAGCCCCGCCCTATGCGGGTCCGTCAGTGCTCGCTGCCGGCGCCTCTGAGAGAAAGGTGCCCTCGATTTCGCCTGCTGCCAAACAGTCTATGCTCTCCCCCAATGAGCCCGGTATTGGGGTTCAGTTCAGTTGGAAGTGGAGTTGGAGGTGGCGTTCAGAGCAGTCTGGAGCCCCAGTCTCCTTCCCGTCAGGGCAATCCCGCGGCACAGCCGACCGTCCCTTCTCTGAGCGCAGTGTGCGCGCCTCCGGGACCTCCTTCCGCCTCTCCCCGGGGTTCCGCCTTACAGCCCGGCTCCCTATGGCTGAGCCTGAGTCCCCGGGGGCTGGCCCAGAACCGGGTCCAGAGCAGTCGGGGGCCCAGCACAGTTGGAGTTTTATCTCCTTTCAGCTCGGGAACGCCCGCCAGGCACTCGGCCTCCCTCCTCTCTGGCTCCGTCCTCTCCGCGCGCTGCGTCTCCGTACCTTGGGCTTTTCCAGCTCCTCCGCGCCTCCTTCTGGTTTTCTCCTTGCTTCTCGCTGTAGAATTTCCAGTCAGTCAACCTTCCTGTAGTTCTGGGCAATGTCCGTTTTATATTTTAGTTGTTTTTATTGAAATTGTTGTGTGCGGCTGCGGCTAGGTGTTCACCTGGGCGCAGCCATCTTGGATCCCAAGATCTACTCTTTTAGCAACATTCGCATATATGGCACAGCATTACTAGCTATAATCACATCCTATACAGCCAAGCCCCAAATTAGTTAACCTTATAACTAGAAGTTTATTCACTTTGGCCAATAACTCCCCATTTCTCCCACCTTCCAATCCCTGGTAATCATCACTCTCCTGTTTCTCTAATTTTGACTTTTTTAGGTGAAATATATATTTAAATATATTTTTATTGATGTCAGAGAAGAAGGGAGAGGGAAAGAGAGAGATAGAAACATCAATAATGAGAGAGAACCATGGATCAGCTGCCTCCTACACGCCCGCTACTGGGGATCAAGCCTACAACCCAGGCATGTGACTGGAATCGAACCTGGGACCCTTCAGTCTGCAGGCCGATGCTCCAGCCACTGAGTCAAACCAGCCAGGGCTATATACCTTTAAAGTTCTCTCGCCAAGGTAAGCAAGCATAACCTGCTTAAGCAGATCTGGTTTGCTCCCCTATTTCATTCATTACGTCTTCCCAAGGCAGTTTCCGGTGTCGCTGCGGCAGGGAAGAGAGGCCTCCGGGGCAGGCTTGCTGCCCGGTCCCTCCGTGTCCCATGGTTGTGCATCACTGGACATCCCTGGACAGTGGCCTGTGACTGACGACTTGAATAAGGAGCCTGCTGAGATCTTACCTTGCAGGTTGAGTCACACTTCTGCTCTG